AAATATGTAAAAATGAAATAATATTAACTATAAACTTTTAAAGTTTTTTTATATTGGTGGGCTTATAAAGATTAACTAAATTGTTAGCATAACTTTATATAGCTGTAAGTGAGTAATGAGTATGTGAAGCCTACTATAAATTACTATAATTACTATATAAATTACTATAAATTATATACTAATATGAAGATCTTCCAAAAAGCCCATATTTGAATTGATTAGAATGAATAAAGTACCATAAATCACTTGTCTCGGTAACCCAAGAGAGATTCGATGGTCACAAAATAACTTTATGAATACCGAATCAATCAATCAAAACTTAAAAGTACCAAAGATAAATTGTCATGTCAACAATTGTTATTTAAGGCATAAGTCAGGTTCTTCAGTTGAAATAGATATATATTATATATAAAAAAAATACTTTACTAATATTTAATTTACAATTTATTATAATTATAAAAATAAACCACTACTAACTTTTAAAATTAGGACTTAAAGACATTGACAACAGTAGATTATATGAAATGTATAGTGATATGATCACCTATATTATACGGATAGGTCCAGTAATTTGGCTTTCATTCAACCAAAAACGTGCATCCCGATTTGTTCGAATTCAACAATACAGTACGACACCATTTGACTTACGGTCTTGTTCTACGTCTGTCGTAGGTTTTAATTTGCATTCCATATGGATTCCATTCAAGGATGAATTTTATGAGGTTTGTTTTTTTAACTTTACTTTGAGACTATGCATGATTTTTGTTTAATGATCATACATCAAACAGATATCGCCAGCATAATCGAGATCTACGAGCTGTTCTGACCAAAACAGATCGACTCTTATTTTTATTTGTAGCGACAAGGATGTTATCTACATTGAAAATGGCAACAACGGGCGAAACCACAATGGGAATCCATTATCGCGTCAATAATTTGAAAAAGAACATGCTGATATAAGTATAACTACTCGGAGATATCTATTCACCATTGTAATACCTTCATGTGGCTTGGAAGACATAAGTTATACTAGCCGTTGCTATCTCTGGGTATCATCGTTGTTAAACTATAAAGCAGAGAAGATATGACAAGCCCTCGTTTATTATATCTATCAGTCCAATGAAGTAGTGGTCTCATAGACATTAAAGCCGCTTCGTCTGTAGTCCTGGACAGAGACATAAAAAGTGATTGATGGATTCTATCTCTTCTTAATGATACCAAATCCGGTACAATTTTTTAGTAAAATCTCATTTAAATCCCATTTAACGCGTGTTAAGAAAACGTTACTGGAAATACTTTTAACAATTTTTCTGAAATTCTCTTCCTTATTATAATTTTCCCTTTTTAAGAAAGTGATTGATTTGATGATTCCTTTAGTATATTGGGAACTAGTGTTTATGTAAAAGCTTTTTCATCCGATTGGTTTATTTTTTGCATTTGTTAGAACCTTCTTATTAAAATTTTTTTTCGGGCAACAGACAACTTAGTTTGAATAGAGTTTTTGGACTCGAAGTGTTAGATTGCATTTTCTTCTTAAATTGAAATATCATTGTTCCAGTTAAATTGTCATTTTTGTTGTATTTTTTAATTTTTTTATTGAAGGCGTTTTATTGTTTTATTGTTTCACTGTTGAACACCTAACAGTTTAACTTTTAAATTCCTTAAGTAGTTTGAAGGTATCTCGTTGTATGTCCATTCTTTTGTCTCCGTGGATATTCTATTGACAAACAATTGGTACGTAATTTTTTGTAGCACAAAAATTATACATACTAATTATAATACAAAATCATAATTAAATGTTCTTATCATCAGTTATTCAATTGTAGCAGATAACAATAGACCTCTTTGAATTATTGGATCAAAGAATTTTTTTCTACATCGTTTTTATGTCGAACATTAAAAATGTCAGTTTGATAACACAATTAATCCTTTCATTTCACTCCCGTATGCGTTCATTACTCAATTTAACTCAAATCTACATGTTACATATATTAAAATAAACAGCATCCAGAGTAGCAATTAAATGATAACGCACAAATAAAATAGAAAAAGTGCTAATTAACTGCACTAAGAGCACAGAATAAAAATGTTTATAGAATGAGTTCCTTGTCATGAACGATTTCAATGTTTTAATTTTATTATATATAGAAGAAAAAAAAAGTGGATATAAATTTTAGTAAAATTCAAACTCAATATAATATTTTAAAAATCACTTATGCAGAGAATATTTTCTCTGAAAATGAAGTTATGGAGCCACTTCAATATGAAAACTTTTTCCACCAATAATGCAAATTGTTATTGGGTAAATTCGAAACTTCGAACTGCTAACAGAGAAACTCTAATGCACTTACAAAATTGTAGTGCAGTGCCTTTTATAAATCCGTTAACTCCGATCATAAATTACTATATCTGCACTTATTTGTTTAAACGACATGCAATGCACTTAAATGCAATTCCAATTTCAAAACTGTCGTAAACAATCATAAAACATGAGTTCCATAACATAAAACTTTTGTAATACAACACAGAAAACACACATACACACACATAGAGAGAGAGCAGAGGAAGCAACTCGAACAAGTGAACAGTATATCTGGAAAGCAACTAGATAGGTGCAGAGTTGGAGTTGTTGGGATGAGATGCGGATGCTGAGCGGGTGGTATTGCAAATATATGCAATGGCACCAATATTAAAACAATTGGGGTTTTTGTGCTGCGTAATAATTTCGATTGTTTTTCTGTTGCGTTTCAAGTACTTTTCGGATAATACCAAAAATACAAAAGCAAAAACCAAAAACGAATACGGAATAAGGTATGGAGTGTGTAGTGAGGAGTGCGGAAAACAAAACGAGCTTCGAAATATGGAAAATCCTATTCAAAGTTAAAATTTATGTTGGTTGTGCTAAATTCATTGGAAAATATTTCGCTTTTGAAATTGAAATCGCAATTGAGCACAGTGGGTATTATGGGTACATGCACGCAGTGCTAAATACCATGTACTCGAATTGTATCTGTCTATGGTATGTGCAACATCTACCAATTTTCTGGTATTCTATTTTCATTTGGATTCAGGGCAGTCATGTTGTCAATCTCGTAATAGGCGTATTCTCGTATTCTCCATTTGTTGCTTCGTTGTGTTTACTTGGCATTGCTTTAGTTCATTCTGAATTGGTTGGATTTGAATCGACTTGACTGCAATGAGTTGAGGTTGGACTAGGAATTTGCATTTAAAAGTTCTCACTTTAGAAGGGCAACAGAAACAATTTTTCCCTTTCGTTATATACTGAAACGTGTAATGTGTAATGATATTTTGTTGGTTTTTTTTGTTTTTGATAACTGAGTGTTATGACTTGTTCTGAATTTTGCATAATTGTAGTCAGTTCTTGTTGTAGTTGTGTTTAGTACGATTATAACAGCAGACAAATGCAAATGAAGTGCATTTATTCATGAGTTGCAGAATAAATGCATTCATAGTTTTCGCACTTATCATTAACACAGTACATGCTTAAGAAGTAATGCTAAAATGACATTCTAAAGGAATATTGATTTCTCAAGGCAAATCAATATCAATTGAGAACTTAGAGTTTAACGGATATTTTCAAAAATTAATAATAATTAAATAAAAATATTTTTAAGTATATTTTGTTCTATTTTATAAACTTTATATTAATGAGTTTAATAAATTATTTTAAATAAATATAGAACATGTTATTTAAATATTTGCTTAATTGATTTCTTAAAAATTTTTAAAATTAATTAATTCAACTATTCTACAGCTGATTTGAAGTACTAAACACAAATTATTTTGATATAAACATATTTATTACAAGAGATTTCATGGCATCACAATGGGCAAAATATGCCTCCGACTGGAAGTGCTGACAATTGGCAGCACGCGCCTTCCGAACCTAACCTAACCTATAAGAGATTTCATAGAACTCTTTTTGCCTAATAAGAATAAGAATAATAAGAGCAAGAATAAGAATCTAATAAGAATATGAAATCAATTTAATAATGAACAATCGCTTTTCAAAATAAGTATTTTGATGAAGCTATTTTTTACCAACAGCATTCATAAGTAAAGTAGATCCTTTACTCCTGTACATTTTTACAATAATCCGACTAATTGAAGTAGGACTATTGCATCGGAAGTTATAGTGTTTAAGCTACGGTCCAAATATATACCAATAATTAATGCTTCTGGTGAGATTTTGAAACTGTTGTGATATACTGAATACTCCTTTTTTCGCATACTGATTTTACCCGCTTTACCAATCACAGCGGTTAGGTTTGATCTACAAGTTTTTGACTTCAAAATAATAAAAACTGAACTAAGTGAGTTTTCACTCAAGCAAGTGAAATTCTTAATGAACTTTCGCTGCAAATTAACAAAACTTCAATTAGATCATAACATAAGTTAAATACTGCTTTGGGTCAGTTGGCTAATGAACACTGACTCTGAGCTTCGAATTTGACAGGGCACGAGTTCAACCCTTGGTACTTGCAGTCTCATAAAATTATTTACGAATAATTAAATACAAGAAATAATTCGAAGATATGCAATTGATGGTACTCGAAATAGCTGTGTGGTCAGCCAAAAATTTAATTAATAACAATAATATAAAAAAAATTTTTGTTGTTGTCGTTCACTACTTTTCGAATATGTTTTTTAAGTATTTTCTATATTTTTTAAAGTAAATAAATTTGATACATTTTAATAATTTCAATTATTAAACTAAGTTTAAATCAAATAAAATTACTAATAATACTAAAATTATCATTTAATAAAATATTTTTAAAATATTTTTCATATTTTCTGTCACATTTTCAAGTGAACATTTTTGTTAAATTTTAAAGATTTCATTTAAAATCAATAAAATTTAATAATTGTAATTATGCATCAAAAAAATATATAAAATTAATTTCATTTTTAAAGATTTTATTTTTAATCAATAAAATTACCAACATATACTAAAATTATCACTTAATAATACAATTTTTTTAATTGTCCCTGCCGAAGCAACTACGCAGAGGCATAAGCATGAAATATTTTATTATTCACATGCATCAGTAAAAGTACTTCTGCATATCCTTTAATCCTTTAAATCGCTTTATCTACTTAAAACTAAGGATATTTTATGTGCAAAACTTAATGACATGATACAACCGCCGCGCAAAAGTTCTTGCAACTGCTTTACCCATTAACACAAATGTCACATGCACATTCGCCTCACCATACCCCTGCAGTTCGCGTTATGACGTTTGCATTTGTGCGTTTATACGTTTATGCGTTTATACGTTTGTAGCGTTACCTGCGTGTATTGGTCGTACATTGGTTCGAAGGAATAATGCTGTGCTTTATGAAGGAATAATGATAATATGAAATTTGTTGCACATTTTGCACAGTGTGCCACTTTCGAGGAGAAACTTTTTTAATTTCTTTATTTTCATTTTTGTTATTATTTTACTTTTCTCGCAGTGTATAAATGTTAACTTTATTTTAATTGAATTTTATACTTTTATGCAAAAACTTTGTACTTTTTAAGCAGTTGGAATTGTTGAAAACTTTGTCGAAATTTGAAATTACTTGTAGTTTTCTTAACAATGATTGCAATTATTTTAATTTGAAATAAATTTTGAAATTCTGCTTGCATTTCTCTATTTTTAGTTTTTATTTTCGTTATTATACTAATTTTTTTTTTATTTTTCTGAATAAAAATGTTCAAACTTTAGTGCTTTATTGAAAGAACCACTAGAGAGTTTCTTGAAAATTCATTGGGCGTGTGCCCTGTTTATTTAAAACTTTGAGATTTTCCTGATTATTTGATTAAAGAAATACCTCAAGATTACAAAATATTAAGTTTAATATGATGATAAGAAAATCTTAAACTTTATGCAGAGATTTATTGTTGTATGAAATTATGGCAATTTTGAAAAGTTCATTGATTTTTTAATGGTCTTCTAAAGGTTCTGCAAGGTAAATAAACTAGTACTTAATATACTTTAAGCATAAAAGGGGCAATATTTGATACTCCCAGTAAAATTGATATTTTTATTCAGTGTTATTTGGCAAATTACCATGGAAAGGAAAGACTCACAGTTGCAGAATGTGTAAAAAATTATTAAAATTTAGCCCGGTAGACGGCTAAAATGCCATAGCTGTTAGCTTTATATATATAATATACTTGTTTTAAATTTCTGTGCAATATAGCAAATTTGAAATCAAGTAAAATAAAGCTAATAATAATTTTATTAGCTTTAGGAGACTCAGCAACTGGATTTCCAGTTGCACTACAAATGTTTATATTAATACAATACCGACCCAAAGTCGACTGGTAAATTCGAACCTTACCTAACCTCAGTAGAGGTATATATAGAGTTTTAAAAATCAATAATGCGTTTAAATGACATTATTATGTTGGAATCAAGCACTTTTTAAACATTATTATCAGAAACAAAACTTTATATCATTTCATGTTATGTTTGTATAATTAAATTAAATATTCTTTTGAAGTCTATAATTTGAACCGATTAATTTCTACTGATCAGATATATTTAAATGATTGTATTTTTAGTTCAAAGAGAACGAAAGTGGAATAAAGTGTTTTTTCAAGCTTAAAAATCTCTACAATAAAATAATTCACAATTCGTAGCCACATCTAGTTGTCCTCCATTTATCCTACGATTGTCTGATATCAGAGCACTTTACATTTGCTAACGGAACCACCACATTTTCTAAGAGTTAATACGTTTCTTCGGTTTAGGCTTGCCATTTTATAATATGAAGCGAATACTAACCACTAATGTGCATACACAGATATGATGTAGTGTTCGGTTTGAAGGTGCCATTTTATAATATGGATCGAATAATAATCGTTTAGCATCCAGTGGTATGATGCAATTCTCGGCTTTAATGTGTGATGATGGTGTTCGTACTATTTTGAAAATGCTGAAAGTTTGACAGAAACCGTCAAATCAGATCGCTTTAATCAACTGATTAAATTTTTTTTGTTGATGTGTAAAGATGTTTTTGTGAGTAATATCTGGTTTTACCATACCACTAACTTTTTTGACCTAAAAGTTATTCTACTTAACAATAAAAATACTATCGACTAAAATATTTTGGCATTTAAAAGTTTTATAACTTTACGTCAAATTTTGTTTGAACAGCTGATGCTGTGCTCTGCACTTTAACTAAAATAATGATTACATTTCCCCAATTTCAATTTAAATATTTAATTTTTTACAATAAATTCTGGTTTAATTGGGTTCAGTTTGAATAAGAATCAATGTACCAAGTTTAAATTTAAAGAAAATAGTAAAAGAAAAAACTACAAATAGAATAAAATTATTGTATCAGAATAGCAACTCACCATCAGGCAATTCATATAATTTTTTTGGCAACTGCGCAAAGTAAGGATGATGCAGCGCCTCCTCAGCTCCTATTCTTTGTTCCGGGTGTAGTTGCAGGAAGGCATTTGCTATCGCCTCACCTTCGGCGATATCATAAAGTCTAGGAAAATTGTGACCTAATTTATGTGGTCGATAAAACCCTGCCAAATAAAAAGAAATAGACAAAAAAATAAAATACTGTTATTTCTGTGCGTTAAAAATTAAAAAACTAAAAAAAAATTATTCATTAAAATAAATTAAAGAATTAAAAAAATAAAATAAAAAGCATAGAACTTAGAACATAGAATTTAAAATATTTATTAGAAAAAATAAAATAGATGAGATAACATAAAATTTCACAAAATATTAAATATTATTAAATATGTTTTTTAATTAAATCAATAAATATTAAATATTAAAAATTACTAAATATTAAATATTAAAAATTATTAAAGATTAAGCTTTAACCATAATATAGAAAATATTTTTCAAATCCAGTAACTGGCGTGGTATTGGGAAAAATATGCGAAAATGTATAAGTGCAATTTTTACTTTGGAATTAATAATCTCAGTAATTAAAGTCTCAGTTATTTGTTGACAAAGCAAACGAAATACCAGAACAAAGTTGAGTAGTTTTAAAGAATAGTGTTGGACTTATAAATTATATTGCGAAAAACAGAATAAGTTTAACTGATAAAGCATTTGTTGTGATGAAATTATTCATTGCAATTTTAATAGTAATATTATCATCTGTTAAAGCTTTGTCAGTGCTTTCTTCGTAGGTTGTAAGTTCTTAGAGACTTTTTTTATTTAGAATATACATAATCGACTCAGATACTTCTCCGTTTTGAAGCACACTCAGAAAAATTTGCTCTAACTACATACTAGTTAAATTAACGATAATTTCTTTTAGCGAAATTTTATCTCAAGTGGTAAGAAAAATATGAAAACCAACATGTACTCGTAGGTATGAGTTGTGGTTTTGATCTGAGATTTAGTTTAAATCTGATTGAATTAATCAAATTATTCTTCTGCGTTCAGTGATTCAAAATTGGCTACACGGAGCCAAGTCTAATTACTACACTCGATTCCATATGTTAGTTAATCTATGTGAGGGACTGTTTTAGGCGCGCCTTTCAAATGAAAAGTTCCGGATACTTTTTATATAGAATATTGTAGTAACATATGTAATAAAAATTTATTCAAAAGTAATACATAATGTGAACTATAATACATTATGACACTTATGTCATAAAAGACTTAAAATTTATATATTAAAACTAAATTACACAAAAACAAACAATATATTATTAGCAATTACAATTAAAAAAAGTTAAAGAAAATGAGCCAATCAAGGAAAATTATTTTATATATTTAAAAATTGAAAAATTAGTATAAATAAAACAATAAACTCTGATATGCCAGAACTAGTATGGAAAATAATAACAAATATAAAAGAATATAAAAAAATAAAATGAAATAATACACAAAAAAAATAAAATGAAATAATATATAAAAAAAATAAAATTAAAGTGACATAATAAATAACAAAATAAAATAAGACAAATTTGGCTTAAATAAAATGAAATTAAATTAAAAAAAGAAATGAAATAAAAAAAGAAATATAAAATGAATTAATAATAAATAATACATTATAAAATAAAATTAAAGAAAATATAATAATATATAATAAAATCAAATTTCAAAAAAAAAACGAAGTAATATATAATTAGATAAAATTAAAGAAAATAATATTATATTATAATAATATAAAATAAAACAAAATGGACTTAAATGAAATGAAATAAAATAATATGTAATACAAGAAAATAAAATATAAATATAAAATAAAAATAAATATTATATATATAGTATATATATGAATATATATAAATATATAATATACAATAAAATAAAATTAAAAAAATGAAATAACAAAATAATATATAATAATTTTAAAAAATTAAATAATAAAATAATATATAATAAATTAAAAAAATGAAGTAATAAAATAGTACATAAATAAAACAAAATAAAATAGTAATGTATAGTAAAATAAAATTAAAGAAAATTAAGGAAAATAAAATGATATAACATAAAATTAAATTTAAGAAAATAAAATAATTTATAATAAACTATAAAATAATACAGAATGAAATAAAATAATATATAATTAAACAAAATTAAAGACAATAAAATTATATATAACAAATACAATAATACAATATAAAATACTAAAATAAAAATAGAAAAAATTAATTAAAATAAATTCGATAAAATTAAGGTAACTTTTCATTTATCACAAACCATAGAAAAACATTCTTAAATCATGTGATAGGAAAATGTTAAAGAAAAGTTAAATAAAGAAAATGGAAAGTTACACAGCACAAAGGCAAATATGTCAAAGAGCATTTAAAAAGGAATAAATAATATATAAAGAAAAAAAAATGAAAAAAAGTACCATAAAAAGCAAACACTTCTCAAATAAAATTTCTATAAATACTCTTTATGCAAATAAAGTAGATTTTTGAATGAATGAAATGACAATTGAGAACGACAACTTCAAAGAAATGAAGTAATTCTATTTTTATTTTAATTAGAAAAAATTTCCAGAAAGAAAGTAAAAGCATTCCCAATACCAACATTAGAAAAAATACATCCAAATAAAAGGAAATAAAGGAAATGAAACCATACAAAAATAGCACAACGAAATGAAATTAAGAGAAAATTTAATTTGATTTAAAAAGAATGTTCCATATAGATATATATGTATATACATATATACATATTTACACCACATTATATATTTACCTAACCTACGTGGTTTGTAATAAGGAAAATGTGTGACACCCGGCCACGTTTCCTCAGTAGGTGTGCCGAGCAATTTAAATATTTTATGAAGTTGATCATATGTATCACGTATACCGGGGAATGTTGGCATGCCAGTGACCATTTCAACAAATATACACCCAACACCCCACATATCCAGCGATGTAGAATATTCAGTGCTGCCAAGTAGGACATCTGTAAATAGTAAAAAAAAAAATAAAAATGATAAAATTAATTTGAAATGAGTTAAGGATATTAACTAACTAAGAGGCACTACAACACACACTGCAATTAATATTTAATAATTTAATCTTAAACAAATTAAAGTAAATTGAAAAAGGAATAAAAATAAAAGCTTTTAGTCAGGATAACATGTTTACCTACGGTTTTGGATTATATCATGAATACGTATCTTTTAGTTAAAGGCTTAAGGCAGTCGGCAGCATATGCAGTTTAACAGCATTAGGCTGACAACGAATTTAACTGACATGCAATTTGCAAAAGCTGCACTCTGCTCTGCATATAATATATGGAAATAAAATCTGACATAGCTAAGAACTGAAGAGAACAGCAAAACTGCAACTGACATATTCTTTAAGCCATGAAAAGTGAAAAATAAAAATTATATTTATAACCAAATTTTAGAAAAATGCAAAATTTATCTCAAAAATAACACATTTTGTACTCCAATTTAGCAGTTAAAATGTTTAACAACCAAACAAGCAGCAAAATGCATTCATTTTTTAAATCCGGTATATTTACGAGGGCTGTTTGATAATTATTTAACATAAAAAAAATACGAAATAAAATATTTTTTTAATATTTTTTAAATATTTATTTTGTTTTTAAATTTTTATAATAAATTATTTTTTTTAAATTGCCAGAAAATTTAAAAGCCAAACAATGAATTGGTTAAGGTATCTACATGAGTTTCTGTTCTTAATTTGACAGGATACGAGTATAACCCCGAGTACTTGAAGTTTAAATATTTAATATAAAATCCAAAAAAAAAATATTTTTTTAATGACAGATGATAGCAATTTGGTTATGTCTAAAAGATCTGTATGATCAGGGGTCAACCAAAAAAAAAACTCATTAATTATATTATATAATTGTTTTTTGTATTAATCCATATTATTTTTCTATAATGGAAATATATATTACTATTACAGCCGATAACTGTAAGATATACCAATTTTGCAAAAATGAAAAAATAAATATTCATGCCAAAAAAAAAAATATTTAGAAAATAGAGAAGAAACTTCACAAGCTTAATTATTCCATCATATGGAACTACATTCCAGAATCCGTTAAGCAATGATTAACACGTAATTTAAATAACTTTATTATTGTTTTCTGAATACGAGAGATGTTGAGTGTTCAGGACGTCTTAAAGTAATATCTCCGGATATAGCGATTAAAATCCAATCTAATCCAATGTTGGTAGCAAAAATACGCTATGTGATGCTGTATTACTATAAAAAAACATTAATCTTCTGTAAGACTGTGCCAAAAAATTGGTGCGATTTACAGTGAGTATGCTATGTGTCAACGTTGCATCCAGAAGTGGGTTGCTCGATCACTGAAGAGCCGCTGAAAATTACTTGGCCAATTTATTTGTCTATTAATCACGGCAGTGGTCAAGTCTGTCTCAGTAGTTCTACATGAAGTCATCCAAAAAAATGGCAAAATGTTATTTGTAATAATGCCTAATATATACTTTTTTAAAACTGATTTTCATTAAAACTGGAAACGTAGCTCTAACTAACTTTTTCAAACTAAATTTTCTAATATCAACACTTTTAAATTCATTTTGTGGTTGCAGAGATGTATGAATGTTGACGATACAGATCTAAAACAACTAACCAAACTATCGTATCTGAAACTATAATATGGAGGTCCGACCTTCGTACCTTTCTAGGATATATTGGGGAGTCATCAAGAATATATGCGATAGTCAACTCCGGGTGAGCACATAGACACTTTGGATCGCTATCAGTTTCTATACTAATGCAGAAATTATATAGAACTTATATGGGACAGGTAAAAAATTAAATTAGAAGCAGGCAAAAATTCAATTCCTTTCATTTATTCCTAACTCATCTAACAGTCCTCGTATTTAGTTATGCCATTCGCCACTATATTCTTCTTGATGATTTAATTCCATTTAAACTGTGAAGAAAACTTTTTTTAAAGTTAACCAGGGTAAAATTAAATTTATTTAATATGAAGCCAAAAGCACGCGTTGCCAGAAACTTTCTGCACAAAAATTCTTTCTATTTTAATTTTTATTTTTATTTTTACTCTTTTAAATTTATTTTATTTTATTTTGTTTTATATGAAAATTTTGTTATTTTTTCTGCTACAAACTATTTTATTATTTTTCATATTTACTTAAATAATTTTTCGCCATAGTTTGCACCACACAGAATTCGCATCTGAGTTGCTCAGGTTAGCTGAATTCTAACCAAACTTGTTGACCTTTTAAAACAGTTTTCTATTTCGAATAGCGAAAAAAAGAAAGGAGAAATTTGTTATGCAAACATAAAATATAACGAATACAGTTAAAAAGGGCAAAATATGTAAAAATTCATTCACCTACTTTCGCAGGGATACCTTTTTCTGGAACAGTGCTCTCCTTTATTTCCTTTATTTAAAATATATAAGCAGCACAGCATTTTCGTAAGTCGGAAAAGTATGCAAATTAACTTCGAATTGAATTTTAAAGTTGTTGAGTTTGAGTTTTGAAGTTGCTGATTTAAATTGAAAAGATACGCTAAGAAGTTCATAATTGCATACAAAATTTATTTCAGTAAATAGAAAATTTTTATAAGAAAAATTTACATCCTCATGTATATTGTTTTCGCTCGAGTACTTTATTTACATTACGAAAATATTAGTTTATATTTTTTTTTTAAAAATATTTCCACCTTAATTTAAAAACTCTAGAGATTTTATGCAGTTTTAAAGACTAAGCAATAATACAGCAGAATAAAAAAGAAGAGGATTCTAAAGCGAAGCATTGCAGGCATAGTAGATTTCTTGCTATAAGAACAAAACAGTGTTGATTAATTATAAATATCAGATCTTGTGCCTTTAAGGAACAAATATGCCTGATTCACATAATCATACAAAAATAACTACCTTTTAAACTTAAGCACAACTAACAAGTACCAAAATAGTAGTAGAAGTAGGAAATTGACAATTATGATATGACTCTCTATATAACACGTCCTTGGCAATGACCGAAAAGACCGTATAATTGGCATGAGCTTTCGGCATGTCTGAATAACATGAGGACCACTTTATTCTTCTAGTATAGTCTTCTATTAATACTATCTTTCGCATTTGTGTACTGTACATTTTATATATATAGATGCATAACTTCGAAAATATCTGTTAGAGTATTTTTTAACTGATAATTTAAATGAGTTTAATGTTAATTTATGCTCGCGTCAGTAGAAGTAATAACTATAGAGAAGAGCTTTCAGATTTTCAAAGGTTAGAACATTGCTCGATTGAAATTTTCTAATATCAGACAACGTACGTATCTCTTGTCTGACCTTATCTAAGCTAGACAGTTATAAATATAATCTGAATATATGATCTATAACTTTTAAAGAAACTAGATATTGTTAAGATCTGAAAGCACTAACAGTGTAAAAATTATAAAAGCTATAAAAATCAATATTAGAAAAGATAAACTCAGGCCATAGAAAAGCTTAATTCACGAACCTAAATTTCAATAACTTAAATCAATAACAATATCAGCTGAGAGATTCAACACATTACTCTGATTTTCAAATTTATTAGGGCACAATACGTGACACTTTCAATCTAAAATTGTGTACAGACAAATCTAAAAAATATTTCCAAATACTATAAATGACATGTGCCCGACATAGCTCTGTGGTCAGTCAGCCCAAAAAATACACTAAAAAAAATAAGTACCAATTTTGAAATAAACATTTTAAAAATACATTTCATAAAATGTATTTATAAAGAGGTTTCTTCGAACAATAGTGAACTACAACAACAAAAAATTTTTTTATATTATTTTAATTAGCTGAATTTTTGGCTGACCATACAACTGTTTCGAGTATTGCCGAATACCCATCATCAGTGGTCTTGAAAATAATTATTGTATTTAATTATTCGTTAATAATTATTTTTGAGACTGCAAGTATCAGGAATCGAATTCAGGTGCTGCCAAATGTGAAGCTCAGAATTAGTGCACCTTAACCAACTGGCCTAAAGCCGTACCTTACTTTCATGTTCAAACATTTTTCTGGAGTTTTGTTATTTTGCTATGAAAGTTTTAATTATAAATTTACTTGCTGTGTTTATATTAGAACGAAATCATAAAACAACTGTAGAATAATTTAATAATTAGTTATATTTTTTAATTGTTAAATTTTCATACGATTCTAATTCTGTAGACATTATTTGTTATATGATTTGTTCGTTGTTATGTATAGAACCTAATCTAGGAACATATGTGTGTATAATAATGTATTTATGATACACACTTCTAGACAATAGTAAAATATTTATTTAAGATATTAAAATAATTTTATATATCCTTTACTCCTGCTTTTCAGTTTCTACGATTTTTAATTTTTTTTCTTACCGTTTGTGTGTGTATAAAGCAAACACATCAGAAAAAAAAATCCTAAAATTCATTACTCTCTTCTAATAACAAATCGATAGATCCTGTGGAAAGCAATGCGAAGTGAATGAAACTAAAATCCTTTGAGATTTCTCACACCGTAGAACCAGAGTGGGAAAATGTAAGGAAACACCATGCTTCCGAAAACAACGGAAGCGGAAGTAAATTGTAACAAAAAGTACATGAAAGATAGACTAATTTTTTTGTAAGAAAAATAAGAAAAAAAATTATAAAAAAGGGAAAATAGTTTTATAAAGATTGCTTATGAAGGTTTTTGCTGCAATCCATTATGAAGAGTTCAATAATTTTTAATTTCTAAGCGTTGGTCAAAGTTAAAAGGATCAAAGGTAATAAGTAAAAAAATTGAATGGGATTAATGGATTGAAAAATTGATAGGTGAAATAAGAAAAAAATATAATTAAAAATTGAATTGAAATGTATAAAAATTATTTAAGCTATGTTTATTGAAATCATTAGAAAATAAGTTATATTAATTTAAATTAAAAAATAAAATTGATAGAAGCAAGTTTTATATATTTTGTATATTCTTGGTGGAAAAATTCTCAATCTAATATATTAAAGTAATTATGTTATGTACACTCATATGTATAAGAGTTGCGTTATTAAATTAAATTCATATCAATTTTGGAGTAAAACTCTTCACTACAGCCTTGCACGCATTCTATGCTCAAGTATAACTAACTTGTTTACATACATATTATACAATAGTAATGGCAGGAATTAAATTAATATTGAATGAAGACAGCACTAAAGTCAGATAAATATGTATCAATAAGAGGAAACGCAAGATAAAACAAGATAAGCAAGACCAATATCTCAAAACAGCATAAAAAAGGGACAATAACAGCAAAAACGAGTAAAGTGCTAGCTAGCACCACCAAAAATGGACAAGACAAACAAAATCAATTGACGACCAATAAATAATAAAATATCGGTTAAACAACAAAACAAAACAAAAAGAGTATAACTGATAGGGAACAAAATAAACAAGACCAATTTCTCGAAACAGAAAATGCGAAAAAACTGAGTAATTGATGACAATATCAAAAACTGTCCGTGTTTAGTTGTTGAGCGTTTAATTCATCCCGATGCTATTTGGAGTAACACTGGTAGTAAGTGAATTTTATTTATAACACCCGATTGGAGGTGAAATTTTGGTACCACGGAGGTCAGGGCTAACAGCTTCGACAGTTCTGATCATTGAGGTTGGCTCCTTAAATGGTGTGGATTACGCGGGTTACAATCATTCGATGTGAAGTAGCATTTCCCAAGCGGTTGCTGTGACCCAAAGAACAGTAGAGGTATTAGTTAGATTTCGCTTTTCACCAAGCGGAAAGTTATGCCCAAACCGGCGGAATTTCTTGGAATTCCAATGGAGCGTTCATCGGCACAATACACCGATGGGCTTCACACGCCTACTGTGGTGTTGAGCCTTCACGGCAGGTATTCTGGACTTTCAATACCAATAACTGGCAAAATGAGTGTAATAAAGAGCAAAAGTGCTAGCTAGCAGTACTAAAAATGGTCAACACAATAGAAATCAATGTCTGACTATGCAAGAAATGTTTTTTTTAAATAAAACTTGTTTAATAAAACTTTTGTAAAGTTATAAACAGTGCTTTAAAATTGAAATTCTATCGTTCTGATTTTTATTCTAATTGAATATTATCGCTTTGAAATCGGTAAAAAATTTCGATTTCTGTTAGGGTTTTCGGTTCAATAATGAGTGAACATCTTTTATGAATTTTATATTAACAATAATTTGAACTTATCATTTACAAAATTATTTAATTCCTTATTTCTAAGAATTTTGCTTACAGAATTTATTCAATAACAGATGGAACTTTTTCGGTAATAATTAAAAAATATTTCCGATCAACTTTTTCTAATTATAAGATATATATACCTATGTACTTCCAAATCCATCTTTAATTAATTTTTTTTATTAATATTCATGTCTTTGAACGTAAAATAGGGATAAAAAGGAAGTTTATCAATATTTTTTAAAAGAATTGAAAAGAATTGTGCTTATATAAACAGCTAACTAACTGTAAGGTGCTAAATTGAAGTAAGCCGATATATTTTTTCGGTTCAGTTTCGGTTTTAATTTCGACCAAATTATATATTTTTTTTTTCGTTTTTCGGTTTACAGTTTAATTCTGGTGCGAAGCCCTTTTTAAAACAATTATTGCTAATGAAAATTTGATGTCAACAATATAAATATAAACATATCCTTACAAATACATTAATCCCACAAAGCATATATTACGAAATATCTAATACATTTGTGCCAAAAAAGGAAAAATAATAATATAAATAAGATTCATAATTAATGCACCAAAAAAAACAAAAAAAAAATAAAATGAAAGAGAAATGCTTGCTGCTATTTTCTTCAGAAAACAGAAACCAAAGTTAATATTTTTGTAAGCATGAAAGGATTAAGGACGTATTTATTTGGTAAATTTGTGTATTTGAAATATATCTCTGCTATCCTACTTGTAATTCAATTAGGCATGCTCTGTTAGCTAAACAAAATAAGAGGAAGAAAATAATTATCCAAGTTCTGAGATATTTGAATTTCGGCACAGCAACCGAAAGGCACTGCAAGGCAGAAAATTGAATGAAAGGAGTTTTCAAAACTTTTATAATATTTGACTAAAAAATTAAAATTAATTATGCATGCGAAGCACAAAAGTACCGAAGAAAAGAAAACCTAAAAAGTTGTTGAAGAAATGTTTTTTTTTGTCTTATTTTGTTAAAAGATATTTAACAAATAATTTGGTGTGGCGGATGACAAATAATTCCGATTTCATAAAAGATCGAGACATTTTCTTTTTCTGTTAAAATATAAATCCTTTATTTTTATATTTCGCCTTAAACAATGTTAAAGTATGAATATAATAAAATCAGCAAAAAAACAGAAAAAATGTTTGTTTTTAATTAAAAACTTGCCTGCCATACGCAATGGCACTCATAGACTGCAGTTGCAGGTAAGCCCAGCCCAGCCAGGATGGCTGGCTGACTTTAACTATGCGTACAAGCGATAATTTTCAGTTTATTGTTCCAGGAATGCATGAATACACTTCAATACATTCATTCACATTCCTACAATCCAACAATCCTGCTGAGCTTGAAATTGTGGTTGTGGTTAGTTATACCAACTTTTGATATAAGCTTGTTTATTTATTAAATTTCTGGTAAACAGAAACCAAAACAAAAGCAACAGCAACAAAATTGTTAGTCACAAAGTGGCTTTATCTTTGGCAGTACACTACAATTATTTTAAATGCATTGTGTGCTTGTATGTATTTTATTATACTCTATATATAGCACAGTTGGCTAAAACAAACATATCACAACAGTAAATAGAGATATAAAATTAATTTAAATTACAGATTTGAATAAGAGTCAAGCTTATAAGGATTACAGAACTAATTAACTAAAAAGCTGATATGGCAACATGTTAACAAAATGTTACCAACACATCAATTGTATCAATTGTTTTGTACTTTGCTAATCAGTAAACAAATACACATAATATGAATTTATTTAGTAAAAGTCATAGTCATAGTATTGTTACATACCTGGTGGACGGTACCATAACGTAACCACTTCATGCGAATACGTATGACTTGGAACACTTTTCGCTCGTGCTAAACCAAAATCTGCTAATTTTAATTCGCCACAATCGCTTATCAATAGATTTTGTGGCTTCACATCTCGATGCAGTACACGGCGTTTATGGCAGTAGGACAGGCCACGCAATAATTGAAATAGAAACAAGCGTACATTACGATGATCCAGACCACCGGGATGCTTTTCCATATATTGTGATAAATCGGTATTCTGTTGTTAGAAAAACAAAAATAAAATTTAATTATTTTATTTACAATTTGTTTGTTTGTTAAATAATACAAACTTACCACATATTCAAATACAAATGTTAACGTTTCTCTCGTATGTACAATATCGTGTAGGGTTACAATATTTGAGTGTTTCAGTTCTTTCAGTAGCGAGGCTTCACGTATCGCCGTAAATGGTGCACCTTCTTCCTCTTGCAGTCTAATTTCTTTCAAAGCAACACGTTGATGAGTTAAACTGAAAATAGAAGGGTATAGAAATATTAGTATAAATAAATTTATAAAATATTATTATTATTTCTGATTATTATTCCAAACAAAAAATTATTTGCGAATAATTAAATACAAGAAGTAATTCCAAGACCACTGATGATTGGTATTTGGCAATACTCTAAGCAGCTATATGGTCAGCCAAAAATTCAATTAAATAAAATAATATAAAACAAATTTTTGTTGTTGTGGTTCACTACTGTTTGAAAAATCTCTTCATAAAAAAAAAATTTTAATAAAATTATTCAGATATTGTAAGGAAACCCTCAATGTTATCTATATATAATGTTAATCCTATATAGTTAAAATAAAAAATCTTTCTAAAATAATGATTTTTGTTTAGCCAAAAATTAAATTAATTCAAATAATTTAAAAAAAATTTTTGTTGTTGTAGTTTCACTACTGTTAGAAAACCTCTTTATAATTATTATATCAATATACTTATATAGCAATACAGTTGACAAACCCATATGATTTGTGAACAGCAGCATTCTTTAAACGAAAAACGCCACAATTAAAAAACAGATTGTCCACTCATTGGCCTGCACAGAATAATAAAAGGACAGTGAGACTATTTTGCACGGTTTAGTTTAAGATTAGATCAAAGTCCTGTAACGCGAAATATTGAATCCTCTCTGCGGAATATAGTCTTCATTTTCATATAATAATGATCAGTTTTAACTCAAACTTTGGTCATTAATGACTGGACTTAAGCTAATCCTAGATGAATCAAACTCTTACTGGAGCTGATTCTCTAATTCTCTTGCCCATTAGTTTTTGAAAAGAACAAACACATGAAGAACAACAATAATTTTTTACGATTAAACAGTATTAATGATGATTGATAACTAAATCGTGTCATGTGAACATATACCTGTAGACTGAGGTAGGTTAGATAACTACCTACATATCTCGATACATACAAAGCTGACCCCTTTACATCATTAAGTGCAGCATTGTAAGGACAATTTTGAATTTATCTGGATTTAGACTAATCTTACACGAATCCAACTATGTATGGGGCTAACTCCGTAGTCGTCTTACCCAAAGGAATATGAAAATAACTAAGAGACATGAAAAACGGCAACAACTTAAGACATTGAAAAGTTATGATGTGAGTTAATTATGTTGTATAAATATATAACTGGAGATCAAAAAGGGTCGATAAAAATTAAAAAATACTTTAGACTGAACGTTTTTGGAATAATTTATAATTGATGATATACATAAGTGGAATATGCATTGATTATTTTTAAAGTAGTTTTTGACATGAGTTTTTTGAAATCCAGTTTATATATTAAAATAAATTGTATGTATCTCGATACTACTTTAGTTTGAGAAGAGGAATCCTAATTTTTGTGTGACGTATAACTACTATTAAATTTTATAAATATATTTTATATTAATATATTATTATATATTTGTTTTTATTATTATATATATAAATATATATATAAACAGGTATTCGAATACTTTTATTCTACACTATCCCCAACACCTAATTAAGAATAAATCCATTATATATATATTGCACGTAGAACACATTTTCTAACAAATGTAATTAATAGCATAATATCTGATTGTTTGTATACTTTTGCTTTATATAATAACTTCTAAACAAAATCTCAATTAATAACTTAGTACATTTAAATCTTCATTAAGTTTTCTACTTACAGAAACTTATGTTTAATTAACTTGTTCTCACATTTTATCAAAAACTTTAGTAATTCCTGTTGTTGTCAATTTAATTTCTTCGGTTGCAACAAGTTTTCTACCCAAACATTTACCAACTTACCAACACATATTATATTAGTATTAACAAAGGTGGTATCCTTATTACAGAAGGGCATTACAAAAGAACTGTGTTCCGAGTCTACGCAAATACAAGTCATAAACTTGTAGACAGCAATTTATTTTTATCACCGTAACTTTCACTTTTACTTTCACATCAGCATATTTGCTTTTATATTAAAATGTGCTTTTTTATGCGTAATTTTTGTTCACAAAATTCGTTTACTCATGAGCTTATTTTTTATTTTTTTTTTTATTTTTTTGTGCATATCCTTGCTTGCTATTCATTCCATTTGCACAATTTTTATACCATTTTGGTCCAACATAATTTTGCACCCACATTTCAAAGGTGTCATATAATTTAACCTAATTTGACACTTCAGACTCAACAGCAGCTTAAGTTTGCTTCGCATCAGCAAATGTGCCATACGATACCGAAACTTGTCGTTTAACTGTCGTCTTTACCGCTCCGCTCCGCTCCAACCAATTGCACTGGTAGGTAGGTTAGGAGCCTAATTTAGAAGCTTCTTTCCTCCTTGCTTTGCCTACTTTGTTCGCTTTTGTATAATTTTGCTTTGATAAACAATTTTCTTAGCAGCTTTTTGGGAGCACTTTTTTGTGCTCCATTTTCATTTTGTTTACTTAGCCCCTTGTTGGAGGTTTGGAGGAGGTACAAGTGTGCAACTTATGTTTGTGACTGTGACATTCGACAAAGAAACTTGTCCGTGTGCACATTTTTATTATTATGACTACTGCTGCTGACTCGTCTGTGCGCCTAAAATCATACTTCTATCCTTCTCGTGAGTTCGCGGCTCAGCTTTGTTTTGTTTAGATTCATTTTAAATGGTGTTGCATTGGAACAAGGATACACTGTATATTTAAATTCTTTTGGTTTTAGTGAATTGCCTAATTTTTTTCTTGTTTCTTGTTGGTGTGACGTCGTTATTTTCGTATTTCGTGACTATATCCTTGTGTAATGTTTGTTTATTGCCGCCACAAAATGTGCCTTACGTGTGTAATTATCATATTAAGAAAGAACATTTGCGTTTGGTAGCATTCTGTGCGTATGTGATGTTCTCCATTTAATGCTTTTCTACATATACATAAATGTATGTATATTTGTAAAATGTGAAGTTTTATATAGTTTAGTAGCAATTAAATAATTTTACTATACCTTTTTGTGTAAAAAGATAAGTTTAAATATGTTAAAACTTTAAATATAACAATAAAACTAACCATTTGCTTTTATTGAAATATTCTTAATTACTGTCAGTTTTCACATAAAATTTAGAATCCTTTTTTATTAATGACTGTTTTTATAAACTCAAGATAGAAAATTATAGTGTTGCTAAGGATCCATTTAAGCTTGCCAGTCGATTGATACCATATAAAACTTAAAGCATTTAAAGCCAGCTTAAAAATGTCATAAACTCTAAAATGTTTCCCAAGGGACGATTTTGTAGCTAAATAACATGCTCTAGAAAACGAATTTCTAACATATTTAATCTAATTTGTTAATACGGTGGACACTGACAGACTGTTTTTTTCGTTTTCCTTACAACTGCATCAAGTATCATTATAAAACGCAATCTTATAGCATACAGTTCTAACAGACAGTAATTCATCAGTTAAACTAACTATACGACTGTTATTTTTACATAGTACCGCAATAAAAAGATCACTAGCTTCTATTTAGTTGAAACTTACTTGAGTTCAGATAATTGCATATTATTGATCTTTCCCATCTTGTATTTCTTAAGAACTAGAAATAGAAGTTCAATCATACATACTGACTGCTTTCCGCCACCCTGAAAAAACGCTATAGTCTGCACTATTGCTAACTTTGGTAAACCTGGGGTAAGGGTCATTGCCTTATTTCTCTCCTCAACATAACTCTATGAAACATTCATAGTTAGCAAGCTGAAGTTCTTCTCTTCAAGTAACAGAACTCTGCCACCTATCCATTAAGACTTGAGGAACCTTAAACACTACTACAGAAAACATATTATTAGGCTAGGTTAGGATTAGGAACCCTTGCACATCAATATCCATTTGAGCATAACTAATGATCCTTTGTGATATCATGGTTAAAGATTTGCTTATTAGCCATAAGACGAAAACTAATAACTCTGATATAAAGACCAAACTTTTCGGTGTACAAACCAATGTTTTAGTTTCAATATTCAAATATATAGAAGTTTTTGCAATTAATTACCCTTTATACATGGTTGAATTGTATGTTTAAACAGTAGAACAAATTCAGAATAAATGCCCTATTTTATAATATGTAGTATTTCTTTAGAATATTATATGGCAATAAATGATATTTAATGAAATAAATTCTTCTACTACTCGAATACACATATGTACTCTTCAACTATATGAATGAAGTGCATACAATTTTGTTCTACTAATTATACACCTCACTCAGTAATAAATATATAAAATTACTTTAATTCAAATCTGGAAACAAAATGGTAAAATTAAAAATATCTACATTTTCGTAAATGTACTTTTGCTCCAATTAATTGCTTATCAAGGATATTAAGGATATCAAGCAAAAATTAATACCAGCTGTGCAAAATGACTGCAACCATACAAACAACTGCGACTAAATGCCACAAAATTAATATTGTGAAACCATATGCGGAAAATTAACATGAGAAAATCTTATACAACCACAAGTGTGAAATAAGAGTCATTCGGATGAGAATATTACGCCAGAGTAGTAGAGCCAAGATAAAGTTTTTTGCAAAAATAGAAAGGTAATTTGTAACACAAAAAAAAAAAAAATAAATAGAAAAACTAGGAATGAAAATATAAAATAAGCCAATATGCAGCAAATAGTAATATAAAAAAAAGAAAAAGAAAAAACCAAGCTAAAAATAATAAAGCAACTAATAGAAAATTTTAGCAAAACTGGGTCACTGACATTGACAACATGTTGGAAAAACTACAGTATGGGACAGGAACGGATAAGATAAAATTGAACTACAACCGCTATAGAAAATGAAAACTATGTCAACGTCATCATGTTTAGCGACGAGGACGACTACGACTACTACGACGACTACGACTACGACGACGACAACGTTGACTATACAAATGAATGAATCAATGAATGGAATACGGTATGGCATGTCGTACATGTGGCAGTGCCCCTAATGCTTCTTTATGCTAATATAAAAATAATATTACATTGCATAACGTACAAAGAAGGAACGCTGAAGTGCAAAGTCTTTAAAGCGTTACTTAAGATAGAAACTGGAGTGGTATTTCATCAGTGGTACAATGTTGAAAGCTATTCAAGAAGACTGCTCATCAATCACTTCAGCTTTTATTAAATAAGCACTTTGCGGTGTAAGTATGCTTAGAAAATCTAAGGAAAATCCAAAAAAAAATTAAATAAAAATATAAAAAAAAATAAGGAAAAACATAAAATGAAAAAAAAATTTTAAAAAAATATAAAAAAAATAAAGAAAATTATAAAATGAAAAATAAATAGAAATAAAAATATAAAACAAAAAATTTTATAAAAAAAAAAAATTTGAACATAACAAATTAAAAATTAAAATAAAAACTAAAAAATTAAAAATATTATACAAAAAAATTTAAAAAAAAAATATATAAAAACAATACATAAAAAACTATATAAAAACAATATATAAAAACAATATATAAAAATATATATAAAAAAATATATAAAAACAATATATAAAAACAATATATAAAAACAATATATAAAAAAATATATAAAAGAATATATAAAAAAATTTATAAAAAAAATATACCTATATAAAAATACATAAAAAAAATATATAAAAAAAATATATAAAAAAAATATATAAAAAAAATATATAAAAAAAATATATAAAAAAAATATACCTATATAAAATAAATATAAAAACATATATAAAAAAAATATAAAAAAATATAAAAAGCATTTATAAAAAAATAAAATTAAATTTTTATTTATATATAATACAAAAATATATATATAAATGTATATTTATATATATATAAAATACAAAAATACAAAAAAAAAAAAAATAAATAAATAAAATTATGATAAAAGAAACCATTTTTATTAATAGAAATTATTGTTTTAATGGAGAGATATTTTGAATAGTAATGAATTACAACGTAAAATTATATTATTTATTAATTAATTGAATTTCGGCTGACCATACAACTGTTTCGTGACTCCAGTGTCTAACTCCAATTGGAAATACTGGGATTAAACAGAGGAATAGAACAGAAAAAACAAAAGAAAAACAACGAAGTAGTGTGATCTCGAATTTTTTAGTTTTCTTAATGAATCTAGAAATATCAAGGAAAGCAAGATCATGAACATTGTTTATGCTCAGCACATCATAACCCAACAGCCTTAGTATCGGTCTTGCAAATATCGGACAATAGCAGAGAATTCTTTAAAATTTATTCATCCGTTTACGACTTATTTGAAGTTTCGTATCAGTACATATTTAACAATGGAAAATATAGGATATAGTGGAAGTTTATATCAAAATGATACATGTATTTTATAATTATGCGCTACCAAAAATAATAGTTTGTAAGTGGGCTGGCTTATCTAAAACTTAACATATAAGTCTTGAAGAGTAGCCACATAAAGAATTTTCAAAACCAGAAAAGCAAAAAGCAAAACACAGTTTTGGAAGATTATCAATTAATCGAGAGAGGTTAGGTAGAAGCTCTAAGCATTACACTAGATACAATATTATGTATCAAGTTTTAGGTTTCAAAAAAATTATACACGTATTGGGTGTCGCATTTGCTGATAATGCAACAAAAACACAGTCAAATATGACTTTACCAGCAACATTTAAAGCGTCTAAGAGAGAATAGGAAATAAATTGAGCTTTATTTTGTCATTATTAATAAGATTTGGCTCTGCCATAATCATGTTGAATCAAATAAGGTGCAATGAATTCCATTTTGAATGACTTTGTTCTATAAGACTTATATAAACAGCTGTCATTCGTATGAATTTCACGTGGTTGGTAATATCAGTTTGACAGATATACCTGTGTGTAGTTGGTAACACTTCAACCCTGTAACCCTGTATGATGAAGTCACCACAAGCGATTTCAATATATTGTGTCCCATTTAAAATAACTGCGACTCTTGAGAAGAATTTAAGATTTAAATTAAAAAATATACAGAAAAAAACTTTGAAAATCAAATAGAAAAGGAATAACTAAAAGCAAAATGAAGCAATGATGAAAAAGCAAAGAAAGATGTAATCAATCGTAAAAATGATAAAATCCAGTTTGTGATTTCAGAAGGGATAAAACGTTTATAAAATCAAGGAGTATATATAAAAGGTGAAATAGATAAAGAAATATAACCAAATGACCTAAAAATCAAAAATCTGAACTCAAGTAACTCGAACGAATAAAAATAAAAAAAACTGCGAACCAAACTTTATCCTTCCGAAGGAAAAGAAAAAGAATCTTAAAAAGGAATTGATGAAAATGGAATAAAAATGCTGAACAATTAACCGCAAATAAAATATGCAATTAGCATAAACGATAAATTTGATCATTAAGGAATTCGTAATTAATGGCGAAGTTAATGTAAATAAATTACAATTTTCTCCACGGAATAAGAAAATCGTGTTCTGCTTAACGTAAGCAAAAATAATTAAAGTTTCTCTTCCTCAAGAATTTTAATGAGTTTAAATTGTTATGCTGTGTCTTTAAGTTCTTCATTTTACATACTTTTGCAACACTACATTATAAACAATATTGATAACATAAGTAAAAATAAATAAATCAACAAAATAAAATATTAATGTTGATAAATAAATTTCACATAAATGGAAACATTAAGTTTTATAACCCGATGTTGCTTTATATGACCTTCTACAACCTCTCCGTGTGCAGGACCATTCATTGTAAAGTAATGTTTAACACTGCAGCTGACAGTTTATGCCTTTATACATCAATCATAAAGAGTGGGAGGAGAAGGCGATATAAAAACCACGCCCTGACTCACCATACTTATTTGTACATTTGAAAAATAACGGTAACAATAAAAGAGTGCTAGTTTTGACAATGACATAACACTTGTCATTTGTCAAATTTTATATAGGACGCACAGTACAACACAGTGTCCTTTTTTAAGCCTATAATGTGGAAAGCATGGAAGATTGAAAAAAAATGTATAAAAACCACAATAAAGACAAGCTGGAAAGGACAGAAAGTGTTTTAAGAAGAATACGTACACATTTTAAAAGTGTGAAATTGTAAGTAGGCTGTCTGGCAGATAAGAAAAATTAATTGTTTTTATATAAAAATTGAAGAAGTTTTTCAAACACTCTTAATAATAAATATTAACATTTTTATATAAGAGCTATATTGATTACTTACAAAATATGGTAAGTAAAAAAGGTACATCAACAGATCGCAAACACCACGAAACCTTTAGATTTTGCACAAACTAATTGTTCAAAGAAAGTCTAAACATTCAAAATAAAAAAGATAATTATTACTAAATTTAATTTCAGTAGAGAAGTATAAAAATTCTTTTCAAGAAAATTATTTATATCTGACCATCCTATATCACCATTGGTGTTAAAGTAGTAATTCTACTATTGGTGAATAGATGGAACTTTGCGAACCTATGAAACAACCAGTACTATATGGAATTTATTTAAGATTACTTTAAAAATCTTAATATATGACATTCACACTACATTTATTTGTGTGAAGAGTATAAAAACATCATCTCATATAGGCACATATAAGCAGAACTTGTTTGCATTGTACTCCTTTGGGTCAAACTGAGATTGTGATTGATTGCGGTAAGAATGAATGACAGAAATGACTTCTACATAAAATACACATATGAGAAAACATTGAAAAATAGGGAACGTTAAGTAAGGGGACTGAAAAGTTTAGTTAGGAATACATTTTTTTGAAATTTAAGTATTAAAAATGTACACAGGAAAAATATTTAAAAAATCAAACATAATTGCAGGGTGGGTACATAAATGACAAAAAACTACTACAGCCAAACAATGTTCACAAATTTAGAGAATCGTATCTGGAAGTACATTTTGTTGCTAGCATCTAACATATATTCTTTTGTTTATAAAAGAAAAACCATCGGAATTGAAAAATAAAACTCGAAAAAATATTTCCGAACATTTATTTTGCTTTCTAAAAAATAGTTTTCACTTAGTTCATAGCGTTATTCACTCTTGCAAATTTTTTTCAAAAACCAATAATCAGACAAAGCAATACGCTTAACCCTCTTCGAGATAGATTCATTATTTCACATATGGAACATATGGAATGAATCTAAGTTGCTCATGTTTAGTAAACATCATTCGAAATGACATTATTATTTCACATAAGAAAATCTACTAGAATCATTAGTACATTTTACCAGAAAAAAGCTTGATAATATAATACGAATATATTTTTAATTATGAGAAAATATTGACACAAGTTGATATTTAAAAAAATTAAATAATTAACATATATTTATTTTTATTGTAAAATATAAATTTACTTACTTGCTAAATCCTTTGTAGACAGTAGCATATGAACCTTCGCCAAGTGGCTCCAATTTTATGTAGGCATCTGATTTTCCAAACGGTGAGTCACCCTATTAAATAAAAGCACAGAAAGCACATAACTTTAATAACAATTTCGTTAAATTATAAAATTAATTTATATAATTTCACCAAACTATTATTATTTTAAACTTCTGGAATATCTTTTAATTTTTTATAGTTAAATTAAAATAAAAACATTTCGCATATAATTAAGAAGTGTTTGACAGTCCATCACCAACCTAGAGGTCATTTTATAATAAAGGATATTTTTTAAGCTGCATAAGCACTATCGGAGACCCTATACTCCAATGGCAGAAGAGGATAAGAGAAGAAGAAGAATGAGTACTATCGATATCGATAAATATAGTTTCACAGCTGAGAAAGTCAAACTGTGTTGACATTTATTTCTGTTCAGTAAGGTTTGCTGAATCCTTATGAATCGTTTATTGCTAGAACAAAGCTTCCAAATTGTGGAAATTAGTTTATGTCGACAAACCAGCAACTCTTGAAATAATAGAAAACAATGTTCATGCCACCATACGGCCACATTTATTGCAAAAAAAAAGTCAAACATTGGACTGATGGAACGAATCATGTAATTCGTAGTCTCGGCGGTCATATGCCAGAAATCTTATTAAAAAAATAAATATGAAAGTATCTACCAGATTATAATAAAACAAATTTTACTCATGCTGCTAAAAAACATCCTATATATTCAAGGTTGGGCTTCCTCTATTTGTCACTGCTTTGAGTATATAGCTTACGCTATATTGCATTAAAATGTAACCCATTGTACATCTTCAAACACATCCACGAATATTCATAAACTAGTTAAGTTCCTGGTTTGTAGATGTACTTTTTTGAGAAAACAAAAAAAAAACAGCACTGCATTTTTTTAGATTAAACTTAATTATTTTGACTTGGAAAATGCTCAAAGCCTATAGCCCATGAAAGTGTGTCTAAACTTTTCAATCAGTTTGAAGAATTAATATTGCTACAAATTGATATAAATTACAAAGTGAATCTCTCTACTTCACTAATGCATACACTCAATGCTCAGCTTAGTGTTCAAAAATGAATTAAAATAAGCAATAGCCAAACTAATACTAAGAGCTTTTGATTTATTTAATATTTTTAAACTGTTACCATCTTTCATTAATAATCCAACTATTTCAATGTTTTATTTAAAACCTTCGAAGCAAAAAGATATTAATTTATTTTTTAGTGACACAATAAATCTTAAGAACTTAAAAAGCGGCTCTACTACCAGACGGAACTCTTTAATAATATGAAAAACTAAGGAATGCCAAGAAAGTTTAAATACGAGTGGATGTTTTTTTTTATTTATTTCTCATTTTAAGACACTCAAACTTAATGTGCTTATCGTTGTTTTTGTTCCTGACATTTTAGTATCACTCCGACAAATACAATGGGAATGCGAATGCGAATAATGAAACAAAAATACATTTCCTTGCTTAACTTTATCCTTATCAATTCAACACTTTAAACACTCAGTGTACTGTATTTTCTCACTTCTCGACTGTACTCGTATATAGTGTAGTGTGTTTTTAATGCCTTATTTATTGCACTTTTAAGTAGTACTTACGCCAAATGCACTAAAACGTTTTCGTCGTGGATGCGGGTCCTGTTTGTTGAGAAAAACTTCCGATTTTGGTCTGGGTGGCTTTTTGGGACGCATTATAACGCGTGTCTCCTCCCGTATGTCATCGTCGAGTAATTTACTATCGGATGAAACGGATAATTGTCGTTGGACACGATCATGATGGTCTGTGCTATCTGTGCTACGCCAGTCTGTAAGTAGAAAAAAAAGTATATTGTAAAAAAAAAAAGAAAGGAATTAATTTTAAAAGTAATGAGAAAGATAAATTCATACAAAAAGTAAAGGATGCGGATGAGAAGTTCTAATAGTTTTAAGAGAATAAAATGTATAAAAAAAGAAGGTAAATAAGTATGAAATACAAAAAGTTAACTAAAACTATAAAAAATATTACTAAAAAATTGAAGTAAGTAAAAAAAGCTGTAAAGCGAAGCTGTAAGGAAAGATTTATTGCTATACTAAAGTAGAGAAGAGAGCAAGTAAAGATTTTAACTTTAACTTTGCAAAAGTAAAACAAGTGTTGCGGTTGAAGCACCTTCAACACTTTTCTACTAGTACTTTTAATATTTGCTACATTAATGGTTCGAAAAAAGTTCCCAGTGTAGAAAATTGCCAAGAAAAAAAGATATGCAATATTGTACATTTTTTAAACCACAAAGAGACACTCGAATTGTATTTGATTTACTATAAAAAAATTAAAAAATGTTAGCAAAAAACAAAAGAAATATTTACTCAGTCTGCACAATTCAATTTTTTTGTTTTATAAAAGAATATTTAATATTGTATAGTATAGTATTTAACATAGTAAAGATGCTTTCTCAAAAAACCTTTATTTTTTTTTAATTTAAAAAATAAAAAATGATTTTACACCATATAGACAACAGAGTCTTCTCCTCGCAAACTATTTTTTTCAAACAAACCGATATTGGATTAACAAATTTATCAAAAATTGATTAAGTAGTTACTTTTGCTTGAATGGGATTACTTTAAGACATAAAGGTAATTGTAAAAAGAGTCCAAAAGTACTTTGGACCATTGAACTATGAATTACTACAACACAAGATTCTTTTCTAGAGAAGATATCTTTTTTAAAGAAAATATTAACTATAAACTTAGACAAGTTTTTTTCTCAACAAAATCAAACAATCAAACATACTTCGATATACGGCGGCTCATCATTACGACATAATATACGCTAAAACGGCCGTTCCTTCTTTTGACAGTTTTTGGATTTACGACCAGAAATATTTCATCGTCCAATCAATAGCTGATATTGGATTAAAAAATTCAAAATCGCCACAGTTTGCACATAAACGTAGAAAAAGAATTTCACATTTTGAAAAAAATTATAGGAAGAGGTGGATACAAACCGAAACAAGCTTTTAATAAAGATGAAACAGGTTTATATTGGAACGACTCAAATATCTTTCATTTCAAAATCCAAAAAAATTTACATTCAGATATAAGTTATAAGGAAGGATTTAAAGGATCAGTATCTTTGGTTTAGTGCAGAGGATCTTAAGTTAAAACCACTGTAAATACATCGTACAGAACATCTAAGATATTTTTAAGGATCTACCAAAAATAACTCAATAAGAAAAACTGAATGCCTAACATAAAGCAAACGAACTCGAGCAAAAAGGCATTCCACACTATTGGAAAATATCTCAGGACACCCGATTAATTTATCTGTCTTATGAAATAATGTGAAATTGAGTATCCTCCAAAAATATGACAGTTCTGATCCAACCTATTGATTAGGTTCCTATAGCAACTTTTAATGCAAAAAACAAAACTTTTCAGAAACTTATTTACTAAAGCGATAGTGAGTCTTCGATAAACGGATTTTCGCTTTATGGTCAACTTTTTCGGAACGTGTCTAGGCCGTTAATCGAAGTATAGATGTGATAAGCACTTTCATGTATATCAATTGGCTTAAATCACATAAGTAAAACATTTAAAAATCCATATACTAAAATTTTATTAAGATTAAATTATTTATATTTTAATCGAAAAATGCATCTGAAAGAGATTAAAATTTGTAAACTTAAAAGTTTAACAAATTCAATTTTCATTAACACGTGTTCGCAAACACAAAACTTCGTAAAGGAACTTGCATTTATCGATCCATTTTTAACGAAAAACGTATTCAATAAACTGACAGGATTTACACTTCAGAAGCTAACCTTTTGCAACTGCATCTACAAATTTATTGCTCACGTTAACGTATATGAATGTGTAAAGTACTTTTGTTAGTTTGGTGTCATCTGCGGAGGTGCGCTATGCATAGTACGCCTAAGGCAAATGTAATTTAAAAAAGTAATTAGTGCTGAAAAACGGGAAAATTCCAACACACAGAATTGAGTTGAGCACACAAAAGTTGCAAACGACGCCAATGCAAATACTTCAACAACAACAACGGCAATGTAATGGCAGGAGCAGCATTGGCACTATTGCCACAACTCAGAAAGTTGACTAGAAGGAGCAACAGTGGAGGATACACCAACACTGATGTTTATATTGGTGTGTAAATGTCTCCAGGTTACTAGGTGACCCACTGTATGTGAACATCGTACGTTGTATGTTGTATGTTGTATATTGCAAGTTGTAAGTTATGAATATGTCGTTCGTAACGAAAGCGTAACGAAAATGTATCTATATTTCTACCTTGCAGTTTGTGTTGTATTATTAAATACATAAATTTTCAGCATATCCTAGACCAACTTTTGCTTGTGCTCGTTTAAAACGAAAATATTGTTCAGCAACACTTGCTGCCGTTACTGTTATTGCTGTTCCCGCTACCAACGTCTATATTCCCTATTCTATTGCTGGTCTATTGCTAGTGAATCCTATATTTTGCCACTTCGGTATGCGTTTGTGTTTTATAGTTGTTTTTTTTTTTTTCTTATTTGATTTTTGTTTTTCATGCTTGATTATTGGCATTGCAGGCACAGTGGCATTCCGTGAATTACTATAGATACTTCAAATGCTTTTGTGCACTTGTGTTTACTTGAGTTTTTTTTTCCGGAGGGACACACAGTTTTGTATTTGTTTACGCATGAAATTCAAATGTTGTTTTAAAAGGAATTGCAGTTATTTTGTTTATGTGAAACATCAAAATTTTATTTGATTTGGTTTCTCTTTTTCATTTAGTACTCATACTTTTATTTTAAAATTTAATGATCCAAAAAGTAAACACGAAAAGGTTTTTTCGCACGAAATTTACAAAAAAAAATATCGCGAAATGATTCAAAAAAAAAATTCTTTTTAAGGTTATACACATAAAATTGAATAATATATATAAATATTTAAGAAGCAAAAAAAATGGTTATGGTTATAATAAATATTTATTTTATTTATATAATAAATTACGCTTAAAATTTTTATTGGCTTTGCAACTATATAAAAAATTAAACTGTTTTTTGTAAAAGAGTTTGTGGAAAAATACTTAATAAACAAAATAAAAAATTGCGCCGTGTAGTATGCAATGAATTTTTTATTATTAAAAATTTCAGTGTATTTTATGTGCCAGCGATGGCAAACCTTTTATAGGCCAAATATTATAACTGTTTTTAAAGGAACTTTTGGCACATCCCAACATTATTAAAAGAAATTAAATCAATAGTCATAAAAGATAGTATACAAAACCGATCGTAAAACCAATCACTAATTTTATCAAATTAATTATTGTAAAAATCAATTAAGTGTTATAGGTAAGACTTATAGGTATATGTTTTCACATTCAAAAATATATATTATAATAAAAAGATATATGATATTGCTAAAAAACCATTTAAACTGTTACAACTATAATAAGATAAGTTTTCAAATATTAAAAGCCATATTCATGTGGACAAAAACTTAATTAAAAGTTGATTACCAAGTTTCGACAAAAATCTTCCAAAGTTTGTACGTTTGGACAATTTGGAACAGTACTTTTAGCAATTCCATTGCATTAAGGTCTCGCCGAAGAGGGGTGTGTTAGTATATGTCCGTATACTACATATTAATGTAAGAGAGTCGAGCACATTATTTCGACGACGATCGATATAATTCCCTCACCTTGGAAAAAAAATAAATGAACACCGCAATTTTTACGCTTATCTTTTTAACAGACATGTGTTCATTAAGTGTGGTATAATTGGTGAATTTGGTGAATTTGGTGAATTACCGCTTAAAATGCAACAAAAAGTGATGTCAAGAGATTTCAGATAGCGACTTTATTTATTTCTTGATCCAGAACACAATTTTCAATTTTAAATCTATTTTTTTCGAAAATAAAGTATATTGGGGTATATATAAGTATTACGCAGACAATTTTCAAGGGTTCAAAATCTTAAAGAGATTTATTTCCTCTTTATAGCACAGAACTACAAAATTTAAAATCTATTTAGGGTGAATTGTCGTGTATATTCATAATGGTACATTTATTTCAAACATATGGCTATAAGCTACTGGTACTCAAAGACAGCCAGCGAATTCAAATTATTCAACGAAAAATATTGAGAAATTGAGAATTCATGTGAATTCATGTCTCCTGAAGTTAGCACAAGACACGATTAGAACAGAACGTCGAACTGGAGTAGTTGTTTAACAGCTAGAATACGATCTCTTTAGAAAACATAATTTATCAGATGGCTTGACAATGTTAATTGAGAGAAGATTGTCATATACTTAAAAAGATTTTTAAACGAAAATAATTTTACTTCTTGAAATAGGAAGAGGAGAAATCCATGGATGCTTGAATTACGTTTTGCTTAAGCACGATATATGTAATGACTAGATTACATTATCAGAAAACTGAATAACAGTATATTTAAACGGACTAATACAGAAAATCGAATGGATAATCGATGACTGTACTCAGAATAGTATGTACTATCACCACCCAAAATTATGAACTCATAGAACTTGGTCGTGTATATCGGAGAAAAAGTGTGAAGAGAGCTCTGACTCTCATTGAACTGTAATAGTTGCAAATGATAATATAAATATATCTTGAAATTCATAAATTTTTTAACAGTTTTAAATTATAATTTCAAGTTTTAAATTAAATATTTTTTCATTCAGGTATCAATGTATGAGCTTCATAAGAAACTCTAATGATAAAAAATTCAAACACACATCAAAACCAAAATAATCAAAGTTTACTAATTTGCCAAAGTAATATTTTTCGC